GGGGTTTCCGGTGCTTATTGGGCGTTTGCCCAGAGATAAGAGCCCGTGTTTGACATACATGTACACATACGCGTGCCGTTCGACTCCATGATATTTCAAAGGCAGTTCCAAAGCGGAAAAGTGACCGAAACCGTACAAGTTAAGAGAAAGAAAAGAAATAGCAGCTACTCTCGAGTCTCTATTACTATTCAACCTGGATGGCCTACTATATGTACTCATACTACTTGCCAATATGATCTTTTACAGACATTCGTACCGCGGTCCGTTCTCCGTATACCAGCGGTGGTAAAAAGAGGGGCATGTTGGGATGTTGTTAAATAGAAGCAGGGGTATACGCCGTGGTCAGGAAGGGAGGGGCGTGTATTTTGGGAAGGCAACCTGTTAGAGGCGACTGGCTTATCATGTTGTGTCAGTTGCAAGCCACCTGCGCGGCAGTGCATACTCATCAGTTAAGTTTATATTAACAATAGCCATTATTTTACAAGAGTTTCTGGGTGCATGCTGTTCTATACATATCATGGCACGCACTCATATGTCGGCGCTCGACCGGTTTCTCCCATGATTTGCCAGTTCGCTGCCCTATTGCGGACGGAATACATGCGCATACCAATATTGACATATAGAAATAACTCGATACGAAAGTAAGATTTGATTCCTGCTTGCTCACTCTACCATTCTATGTGTACCTACTCGTATACATCCACGTCTCCCAGGAATCATCCGCTCTGTGTATTGTATACTCGTACGAGTTGCTTCGCATGGCTAACGACAGATGATCGTATCCATTCATCCGGATCAAACTCTTGCACTTAGGGATGATCTTCATAATAATACAAGCAAGCATGTGCTGCTCTTTCTCTCGATTTTCCCTTTTGAAAGGTCAAAGACGTCTTATCGCCCCCACAGTACGGAGCATCCTCTCTCGAATGCCAAGGGACGGCGTCTCAAACTTGTAAACGCACCCCTCCCCCTGGCAGGCATACTGATAGGGAAGATGAGTCTCGCTCCTTGCGCTCCCCCCCCCCCCCCCTTCGTGGAACATGGACGACGATGTTGTCTTGTACTTGATAGTATTACATGGGGGTCCTTGTTCCTCAATTGATACTTTCTTTTTTTTCTTTTAGAGTAAAAATAATTTGAAATTCGATGTTACTTTTTCGTCGATCCTAGGCAGGACGTACGTATCCTTATTATTAGTCTCCCTCCCCCCTCTCCGCCGCGTCTCGGCGTCTGGATCTTACCATTTCTTTCTTTCGCTCTTTTACTTATCATTTATTACTTGTCCCCTCCTTCCTCCCCCTCTTGTGCGTGTCTCTCCTTCTACCTTTTACGTTAATACTTAATTCCCCTCAGTCAGAGGTCCCGTACTTCCCCCCTTTGGCCCTCAACGCCTAGTTGAACTGCACAAAGGCTACAATGTCCACCGAATACAACGGCACGACGACAAGTGCCAGCTATGGCGACGATACGGGAGCCAACGACCTTAATGTCTTTTACGACGTACGTCTCATTCGAATATACTCAACGCGTCAGATAACGGGCCTTGACAACTAACCTACGGCTTAGACCGGTCACCTGTGCTTCCTATTCATCTGCTCAGGTCTCGTCATGCTGATGATTCCTGGCGTCGGTCTCTTCTACAGTGGTCTTGCGCGTCGCAAGTCTGCCCTGGAGCTGCTCCTCCTGTCCATGATGAGCGTGGGCGTTGTCGGCTTCCAGTGGTACTTCTGGGGCTACTCGCTGACCTTCTCCCGTACCGGCGGTTCCTTTCTTGGCGACCTGACTATGTTCGGTCTGATGGACACCATGGCCCAGCCCAACGGTTCCGACTACCTTCCTGATATCCTCTTCTGCCTGTACCAGGGCATGTTCGCCTCCATCACGCCCGCCCTCGCCATCGGCGCCGTTGCCGACCGTGGCCGCATCCTCCCCGCCCTCGTCTTCATCTTCATCTGGACGACCGTCGTGTACGACCCGATTGCCTACTGGACCTGGAACGCCAACGGTTGGCTCTTCAAACTCGGTTCCCTCGACTTCGCCGGCGGCGGCCCCGTCCATATTGCTTCGGGCACCTGCGCCCTGGCATACAGCGTAATGCTCGGAAAGCGAGTCGGATACTCCAAGACAGGTGGCATGCCCTATCGCCCCCACAACGTCACCAACGTCGTCATCGGCACCGTCTTCCTCTGGGTCGGCTGGTTCGGTTTCAACGGTGGCTCTGCCCTGGGCATGAACATCCGCGCCATCCTAGCCACCTACAACACCCAGCTCGCTGCCTGCGTCGGTGCTCTCTCCTGGACGCTCCTCGATTACCGCCTTGAGCGTAAGTGGAGCACCATCGGTTTCTGCTCCGGTGCCATCTCCGGTCTCGTCGCCATCACGCCGGCTGCCGGCTTCGTCACCACCTGGGGCGCTCTGGTTATCGGTATCGTTGGTGGTATTTGCTGCAATTTTGCTACAAAGCTAAAGTTCCTTATCGGTGTCGATGAGTCTCTCGATATCTTTGCCGTCCACGGCATCGGTGGCATGGTTGGGAACATTTGCACTGGCGTCTTTGCTGCGTAAGTAGAGCTCGACTTTCACCCCCCCCCCCMCCCCTCCACCCTCTCCTTTCCACTTCCAAGAAATGGAGATGCTAACTAAAATACAGTTCTTGGGTCGTCGATCTTGACGGCTCTAGCAACGAGCCTCTCGGCTGGATCGAGCACCACTGGGTCCAGGTCGGCTACCAGTTCGCTGGTACTGTCAGCTGCTTCGCCTGGTCCTTTGTCCTGACCTGCATCATCCTCTTCCTCCTCAATCTCGTCCCCGGCCTGTCCCTTCGCGCCACTGCTGAGGAGGAGGAGCTCGGCATGGACGACGTCCAGCTTGGCGAGTTCGCCTACGACTATGTCGAGCTCACCCGCCACGTCTCCGACTCAGCCAGTTCCGTCAACGGCCACGGTGTACTCAGCAACGGCAGCGCCATGGCCAGCCACGAGAAGGTCCCCCAGACTGTCTAGGAAGGTGGTAGCATCAATACCCGCCACTGTGCAAACAAGATCTAATTGAATTATATATTGATCCCTGTGGTGACTTGCTTTATTTTAGCCATCAACTTTGCTTGGGTCTTGGAATCCTGTTTTGGTGAGCAGGAGAAGCATGGTCCAGGTTTTTTCGCTGATTTTGTCGTACCATTTTTTTTTCTTGAAGAGCTTTGTAGTAGGACTAGAGAGATGTTACTATAATTCACAACCGTACATTCAATAATTAGGCACAGTGCCGTACAAGGCAAGTCTGGAAGAGCCAAACGAGTGGTAAAAAACAATTCATTGTGATTCATCGGTAGGTGGTGTGTTGCTGTTACTCACTAAAAAGTTACCACCGTCCCGCTAAACCTGTTGGCTTCTTTGCCTGTCTGCCCGTAAGTCAAATCTTCAGTCTGGAGTAGGGGGGGGGTTTCTGCATGGCCCTTGTCCCTTGCCTAGGTCATGTCCGGGATTTCAAAATAGGAACGAAGCCACAGTATCCTCCCCCTCATTCTTTCGAACAAAAACAAAACAGAAATAAGAACAATAAAGACTATTTACCGACTTTCTCGTGGCACGCCGTCGTAAAAATAAGTATATGCCATGCTAAGAGGATTGAAAAAAGCATTCCGACCACACCCGCTCTTCCCAGTCCGTATCACGCTCTGTATCCCTCGATTTTCCATCTCATCTGCCATATCTGTTCGTTACAAACAAACGCCGGGGTATTATTCTGCTCTGGAACTCGTGCCGGCCTCTCGGCTGTAGGAGTGGTGGTTGTTGTGGAACGAACCATACTGCTCTCGCCCCTTTGACGGGATATCTGTACCATATAATACAGATACGTGTATATGGCGTCACCAAGCCATGTGAAGATGCCTCGTGCCAAGAACTCTCGGCATGAGGCCTCACCCACCTAGAGATGTCACCCCAGCCTGGCATTATACATTGGTGTCTGCGGCTCTGTCCATTTGTATGCAAGTGCCATTGCATTTCCTAGTCGCTGGGCCTAGCCTGGTCCTGCTGCCCTGGGGTGTCTTCCTCTCCGAGTTGCTGGTGTTGCTGGTGCATAGATGCTGTGCTGGCTCCGTGAGCCGGCCCGCCGGTGGAACCAGCTGCGGTGGCCACACTGGCTAGTGAAAGCCCATGGGCACTTGGGGGCGGGGCACCGTTAACCGGCTGGCTGTTGAGGAAGCTTGAGAAGGCCGTGGGGCCGAAATGCGTACTGTCGGCTGCAAACGGCTGGATCGCGTGGCTACCGGCATGGGGCCCGCCGGGGGGTACAGGGATCGCCTGCAAAAACGGTGGCATTTGAGCAGTTGCCTGCGTAGTAGCATCCATGCCGGCCAAGAGGGTCGGGTAGATGGGACCGCCAAGCTGGTGGGCGTCGAGAACATCGTAGTCGGGATCCTCATCTCCCATCTCATCGTCTATTCCTTCGGTGTCGCCAAGGATGTCGGCCGGGGGGTGTTGTGGCCGATTACGGGCGCGGCGTGAGTCCCCAGAGTGACCATCGCGGAGTTCGTCAAACTGGGAGTTGGTGTTCAGGTAGTGGCGAAATTGTGATACCATGTTTCCCGAGAAGACGCAAAAGAGATCGCGCTGCTGTTGGGTGAATTCTGTCTCTCATTATTAGCTCCTCTGATCTCTGATATGGTCCAAGATTCAAGTGCATACCAGGAGGAGCATGCCTGCAGAAAGGCTGGAAGTCATCGCGCTGAAAGGCAGCAACGCCTGTGAGACTGAGGTGCGTCAGGCGGGGGCAGGAGTTGAGCAATCTCAAGATGGACTATGTTTGTTGTCAGTATCGGACCTTGGTCCTGGGCATTGAAAGAACGGGCGGCGGGGGAGAAAATTAAGATACCTTGAGAGTCAGGTTGAGACAGTAGCTCAGATGAACACGCTCTAGACTCGAGGCATAGTATTCGCCGCTGATAGGCATGCCGTGGCCGTCTCTTCTTGCTCTCGGGCGGAACGCGGCATCCGCAAGAGCAAGGACCGACTCGTCTGTTATTGAGCTACACTTCACCAGGCCTATCCGCTTGAGCTTGGGGAGCATAGCCAGCCGCCGTACCGAGTCGTCCGTCAGGTTTACGCAGCACCCCAGGTCGATATACCGAATACGATTACAGTTGTTGACCAGTTTCTTAACACCGTCATCTGTAATATGACTGCAGTGTCCCAGATGAACGTAATGAAGGTTCTTTCCGAGCTTGGAGATGGCGTAGACGGAGGCATCAGTGATGTTGCGGCACTTTGCCAAGACAAGATTTCGCAATCGAGGGGCCGCTTCGACAATCTTCTGGACGGCAACATCGGTCAGACGAGAACATGATGTCAGGTCGAGAATGCGGAGGTGCTCAAAGGTCCTTCCAGACGGTAGAGAGAGAAAAGCATGATCGTCAATCAAGTCGCAACTAGCAAGCCTCAATTCTCTCAGGCAGTTACCCTTAGATATGAGAGAGGTGATAGGGCCATTGCCGACCTGACCGCATTGGTGCAGGTCGATCTCGAGGATGTTCGAACAGTTATCCGCAAAGGCAAAGATTGCATCATCATGAACCTGCACGCACTCGTTCAATTTGAGCTAGAGGATAGTAAGCAAGCTGCGCGATAGTAGTGGCTAAGAGTGCAAGGCTGGCAGTGTATGGGTCAAGACGGAGAGGCCAAAAGCCCAAGAAAAGAGAGGGGGAGAAAGGGAGTCTTGTAAGCAACAAAGATGGGAAGGCTGAGAGGAAACACACCCTTTTAATATACTTGCAACTCTGAGCGAGCTTAACCAAGCTGCTATTGGAGACGTTGTCGCACCCCGATATGTTAAGGCCCTGGAGGCGCTTGCAATTGTCGGCAATAGCCTTGATGGACTCTTCAGTGATGTTCTTGTCCTGTGATATGTCGAGAGCTAGGAGCGAAGAGCTGCCCTGAACTAGGGCGATGAGGCCCGAGTCGGTTAGGTTCTTGCAGTTGGTGAGGGTGAGACGCTCAACACGGGAGCAGACGGCGAGGGGCATGACGCTGCCGTCATTGACCTTGTCAGCTAGGGCGGCGAGGTTGAGTCGCCTGATGAAGTCACGGTAGCTGAAGAAGGGCTTCTCGAGACCCAACGTCTGACAGATGCTGCTGTGGTTTTTCCAGTTTGTGCACGAAGGTCGATGCCAGAGGAGATCGACAGAGTTGCGAGCCCAACGCTTACAGACAAGCATAGAGTGGTATAGGTCAGTAGGGGCGCTCAGCTTGGAGAATATGCCAATAAGGATCTCGTTGGGGAGGCGGTTGACTGGGGGCCAGCAGGCATCATCGACTGCCATGTCCTGGAAGTTGGGTACGCCGAGCGACGACTGCGAGTCGTTGTTGTTGAGGAAGAAGTCGGACTCTTCGTTGTCGGGGGGAGCAGGTGAGGCGGTCGACGACGTGGAACGGGAGTCATCCTGCTCCTCCGACGCCGACACCGACCGAGAAGTTACATCGGCGGCGCCGGCAGGGGGGGACGCCACATCAGGCCTCATGGCCCGTGATGGGACTGTTACAACACACAGCGGTGTGTATGCGTGCCGGGGAGGGAATCTCCGATGAGCCGACGTGGGACGAAGTGGCTCAGATGACGTCGGATCAGACAACTGTTGGACCGTAGTAAAGGATGGACTCGGCTACCGGAAAGGTCGAAGAAACGGGGGCGGTAGGTTTCAAATAGAAGAAGGAGGGAGGGAGACGAGGACGGAAGACGGGGACGGAAGACGGGGACGGAAGACGAGGGAGAAAAGGGCCGTAGAGAGCACTCGTTGGTCGAAGCACAGGAGTGGTGAGGGCGACGGGCTTGGCGGGACGGTAGCACTGGAGGGATGAGCGCGGAAAAAAATGGACTGGGAGTCGGAGTCGTGTCGAAGGTGCGTCAAAGGCGCAAGAACCGGTGCGTCGCGACAGGTTTGCAGAAACGGAGTGGGAACGAGGTTGTATGTACAGAGTAGCAAGGGGAACGATGTGGCCAAGGGAAGCCGAGTCAAAACAGCCAAAAGGGCTTGGTGGTGACGGAAGAGTGGAGGCGGGCCTAAGCCTGTGGAATAATATACGACAAGCGCCCAGAACAATGGCGGGGCACCAAGTATTACAGTACGAGAGTACAGACCTGTACAAGTGCAGCTACGGGATGTTACTGTTGGGTTCCCTTGGTGCTGCTGATGAGCTGGCTGCTGACGTTGGCGCTTGGGCTTGGCTGAGGGACCCCACACACAAACCGCGAGCGCTGAACAATTAACCGAGTATTGGCGATATCACGAACAGATACGAGCATGGTATTGCTGTTGTTGTTGTTGTTGTTGTTGTTGTTGTTGTTGTTTCTGTTTTTTCTTGACATTTGACTGATGTCTAAGTATTCCCGTCTTCACCATATACTGTGTCTAGACATAGGCACGAAAGCCTCTAGTAAATCACCGATTCTAGTGAGGCAGTTCGCTACTAATCCACACATGGGCAGTATTACTCGTGTAGGTATTATATTACCTCTGACTGTGCACCTACCTACAGGACCTGACTACAGCGTGGTACACCCCCTATAGCTCGTCCCATATTACAGGCTTCATGCAGGTGACCACTCGTAGCACATGGAGCATCGTCAAACATCAGTCAAGGTAATCGGTACTTGCTAGATACCAAAAATGCCCTTCTACAAGGAGCAAACCCATTGATGGCACCCTGTAGTATGTGAGAGCATTCAGCATTTTAAGCATGTGATTTCAGTATTATATATATTTGCTAGTAATACGGCGAAGTTTGCAATGAAGCACCTCATTGTGGCCCTGTTTCATCTTCTCCATAAAACCCAAACACGTTGATGAGGAAAGTATCATAGATCAGTGAGTACCCGTCCTATGATTAGGAAGACATGCGATGCAGCTCTCGTGATCCGCCGCGCCTTATAGGCTGGTTAGCAGGTGATGTGATGTGTCCAAGCATAATCATGTCGTATTAGTTACCAGCATCGCGCATCCTTCCCCATCCAACAAGTATCACAGAGACAGCTCAATCTACATTATATGTAATCTGTACAGTAAAAGAGAGAAAATCCTGTAAGAATGAGAAGAAAAAGCATACGAAGTGTATGGACATTGAAAATATATGTAATGCTTGTAATTAGCGAATTATACCGTGAAACAGGTAGGTATTAATGTTACATGTAATCAAGATGCAGCGTCATGGGTCAAGAATTCCACATCACGTGCCGTGACGGCGCGTTGGAACAGGGTGACGGGCAAACCTTCCTCGGCTAGGTTAACCCCTCAACATCTTCCTAATTACTATTTTTCCCTTGTACGGAGCCATAATAATAACAATGATGGTAGTAATAATGATAACGTTAAATATCAAGCTGAAATTATGATGTTTTTTACTATTTCATATAATTTAATCGTTGAATGATTATTCGGAATAAACTCGGTCCGACCAATCAGCCCAGGCTCATTTTTTCCGATGTTATTCCGGCCGTGCCGCTTAACGAGGAGCCATCATGAATTACAATGGAATTAGCAATCAATCGCCAACCACTACAACGCAGCCAAGACTGAGCGGCAGCTGGGAGCTTTACACGTTCAACAAGATAAACTATTCAGGGCCTCACCGTCTGAATCAGGCCAGTCCTAACGCCAGTGGTAGTCCCCAATCGCCCCTTAAGAAGACAAGCCATGCTTCGCCGGGTAGCAACAACGACCAGAGGTCCGGCCTTGCGGACGAGGGTTCGTGCCGCCACCTCGCCTCCGGCCTACTTAACGAGCGGTTGCCGGGCCTTCAGGATGGGACGTGGTGTTTCTCGGGTGACACAAGAGTTTGACCTCAACAAGCTCAATGACCAGCGCCGGGACTACGACCGTAACCGGACAGCATTCCTTGCGGCGGGGGCCGGGGCTGGAATCGTCTCTTTCATATACACGTCATGGAAGCTAAAGACGGCTCTGGACGATCAGTCCAGGAAACAGAAAGTTGAATGCGACTCTGCTGTGCCAAATGAGATGTTCAAGACTGAGGGGGGCGAGAAGCGCAAGGTGGTACTCCACGACGATGAAGGCCGCGAAATTGTCCCCACAGGCAACAGTGTCGTCACCACATTCCCTCGCACTCTGGACGTTAAATTGCCCTCGGAGCCCAAGCCTGAAGGTCCCATTGCAGCGTCGATCACGGATGACGAGGGGGCCCAGTTCACCCTCGTCGGCCTAGGCACCCGTAGCGTCACCTTTATCGGCATACAGGTATATGTGGTGGGTTTCTACGTCGCAACGCAAGACGTGGCCAAGCTGCAACACTATCTCGTCAAAAAGGTCAATCCGGTAGCCACGACGCTTATTTCCTCGGAGAAGGAAGCGTTGCGCGCGTCACTCATGCACGAGACCGAAGGCGAAGCCACGTGGAATGAGATACTGCGCGATGCCGGCTGCCGCACCTTGTTCCGCATCACTCCCGTCAAGGACACTGATCTCCATCACCTGCGAGACGGATTCGTCAGGGCTATTACCGGCCGCACGCGGTCTGATCCCAAGGCCTACGCCGACGAGCAGTTTAGCGCCTCCCTCAAGGACTTCAAGGCCATGTTTAACCGCGGCTCCGTTCCCAAAGCCAAGGAGCTCATCTTGTGCCGTGACCAGGCCGGCAAGCTTTCCGTTATGTACAACGACCAAGGCGTCAAGACACTGCGCAAGGACATCATGGGCGCCGTCGACGACGAGAGGATCTCTCGTCTCCTTTGGCTCAACTACCTCGCCGGAGCAAAGGTCGCATCCGAGGGTGCCAGGCAGAGTATAGTCGATGGTGTTCTGGAGTTTGTTGAGAGGCCTGTCGGAACTGTTGCCACCCAGGTCCTCTGATTGCATGCGCAACATTCCTTGGTGTAACAGTGCATAGCAGTATACATCTATGCGACGGAAAGAGGGATATCTGGCTTTTGTTGCCATCCATGTATTATATTACAACCAAAATATCACATTGTAGCTGTAGCAGTAGCAAAGTCAAAAACTCGATGTTCTGTTTATTTACCCCATCTCTCGACGCCACCTAACGAGGATCGTGCTCTATAATCTACTGCGGCCAGGCGCATCATCCTCAGATTTCCTGTAATACTGCGTAAGGAGACCCCGTTCCGGTCGTTTGAAGAACAAAGGGGTTTGCGAGAGTCTTTTACGCCTGGATGGCGCCAGCCTCCTGGAGCAAAGCCTTGAGCTGGCCGCTGGACTGGAGGGCCTGGACATTCGAATTGCCACCAATGTGCTTCTGCTTAATGTAGACGTTAGGCACGGTGCGCTGGCCACTGATCTCCTGGAGTGCTTCCTGGAGGTCGCTGCCATCCTCTGTAGCCGGGATAACATTCGTCAGCCATGGACACGGTTTCAATTGGGGGGAGAGGGGACGGAGAAAGGGGCTCACCGAGCTGGTCGAGCTCGAGCACGGTGGGTTTGGCGTCAAGGCTGCTCAAGAGCGACTTGGTCGCACTGCAGTAGGGGCAGTAGGACTTGGAGAAGACAACTGTGACGCGTACGGTGGTTAGTATGGCTGGGCGCAAAAGAGAGGGCTTGTACGCTTCGGGTGTGGGGAGCAAGGCAACATACCAACAGCATTGTTGTCAATGTACTGCTGGGCCTTGGCGGATGCGGATGTCATGTTGACTGTAACTGTGGTGCCAAAGAATTTGCGAAAAACGTTCATTTGATATCTGCAAATATACGTTAGGTGAGCTTTTCTTGAGCTAAAGAGGTAAGTGGTGGAGCGTCTTTTTAGGGAGAACGTACGGGAAGATAGGGATGTTGTACAAGAGAGGGGAGGAAAGGATGGGGGCGTCGGAGGGTATCAATGATGCTTTATAATACGATTGTGTCGTAACGCAGGATAGGCGATCTCGGCTTGGGGGGAGTTTGGGAGGGGGACCAAAATCGAGTGGACCCTTTCCCCTCATGATGCAATCGGCGACCAACTCGCTGGTTGCTTACTCATTCATCCAAAATTCGGTATTTACTCCTAGGCAAGAACAAACGCCATTACGACAGCGATGGGATAATCATGGCCTAGGTTTATTGGGACGTCCCAATGATAATGGTCAATTGAATGTAGAGGTATCAATTAATATAAACAACTACAAAGGTGAATGAATATGAAAGACGCCACCACACAAAACATGCAGTTGCTACATGCCATTTCCTCACTTTGCTGACAGTACGGAGAAAAATTATCATTTGCGTAACAACGACTCCATATCCTCAAACGCCTGGAATTAAACTCCATTCTGGTAAGTTACCAACTACTAGTTTTTACTTGCGTAACAAAGAAAATATAAGCAGAAACCGCTTTTCCGATAGTAACGGGAGCTTTTTCAAAGTTCTGGAACAATCGGCCGTTTAAGCTTTAGGGTACGCATTCTACCAGATTTTCCCCGGGGTGAGTGACATCACTAAGTGGCCAATCAAGTCAATTGTTAGGCACCAGGAAAATTCAGGGTCGGGCCACCTTCAGCTCCTCGTATGAGCCTACATGACACCTATCCTCTGCTTGTCAGAAGAGGTTATCGATTTTGTCACCAGAATCGCGACCTGCATACGAAGTGGCTCCCAAATACAACCGACATTGTCCTCGTGGCTGTGTATAGTACAATCATTCAACCGACTTTGAGTTCAGCCTGGAGCTCAGCCAGACGGAGACTGCGACTGGAGTACCCGAAACTGTTGAACACAATCCACCTGTGACGCGCCGTATACGACACGAGGTCAAAGGCGGCGACAACAATCCCCTCTTTGACCGAGAAAAAGACGCCCGATACCATTGCAGATCGACCTCTTTTTCCCGGTTATATAACCAGACACCCTCCCATAGTCAAAGGTGACCTATTACGGGCCACCTTTGGACACCCGACAAGGTGGATTCGACGCAGGCTGTCGTGGCCACCTCTGGTGCCCTACAGCATTTCAGGATTGGCATCAACGAGACACTGACAAACTTCAACACCATCATCAACGGTTCAAATCAATACATTTCTGGGACACTCGGAGTTCATCCGGGAATCATCTATAGCAGCATCGCCATCCTCGCCGCCCTGCCCCTCACCATGTCAAGATTTAGCTGGTCCCGCGGCGGGAGCCTGTCGCCTTACAGCTCCATGTCTGGCGGCGTCCCCAACGTGACCGACGAGGACTACAGCTACATCACATCTCAAGATATTGATGCTCCCACCACCGACAGCTACTACGACCAGCGCCCCCCGAGCCCGCAGCCCGTCTCGGATGATGTGCTTCTCATCAAGAATAGGGGCGTCACGTACCCGGCGCACTTCCCCAAGAGATCCTTAGCCGACGGCAAAGTCCTCGTCCAGGATGTCGCGGAGCGCATCGTGCTCATGATGGGGCTGCCGAACCGTGTAACCAGCAGCATCAAGCTTCTGTACAAGGGCAAGAAGATGAGCGATCCTGGCGCCCCCGTGTGGCGCTACGGTGTTAAGAACAAGAGCGAAATCATGGCTATCGTACCCGATGGAGCCCTTGACAACAGCGGCAGCCCCTCAACTGAGGAGGTGGTGGATGTCGCCCCCGGGCTCACCAAGTCTCAGCGTCGGCGCAAGAACAAAAAGAAGGACAAGCCTACAGCCTCGGATGGGACGGCAAGCAGCTCCAACGCCAGCTCCTCCAATGCAGGTGCCCCCACCGATTCTGGGAGCAAGGGCATGCAACAGCTGGAGGAAATTTCTTCATGTTTCTTCGACGAATGGAAGCCCCTTTGCGAAGCCTTCATCGCCAGGCCGCCATCGGATCCCAAGAAGATAGATGAAGAGCACCTCAGGCTGTCAGAGTCTGTGATGCAACACGTGATTCTCAAGACTGATAACGTCGAAACTGATGGAAACCCGGATGTTAGGGCACAGAGGAAGGCCCTGATTAAAGAGACACAAATTATCTGCAGCCGACTTGATGAGGCGGCCAAGGCGGCCAAGGCGGCCAGGGCAGCGGCCAGGTAGAGCAAACGGGCAAGCAAGCTAGTATTATACGATACTGTACGCACAATCCATCTTGCATAGTATTTACTGTCCGATCATCCTTCGGGCTGGGATGATTTTAGCATTAGTAATTTGGAAATTCGTCCTTTTTCGCCCTACAATATGTGTTGTGCGTGTAGACAAGCTTGCAATGTGGTAGTGATGATGAGCCTATGAGTAATATAGTAGTACTGGTTGACCAGCAATGCGTCCTGTCAATGGTGGTACGAATACATAGAACCACGAATATTATGCCATCCATCCGGTTATCCACTTTGACTTGCAGCCGAACCCATGTGGCAATATTACAAGTACCCGTGTGGTATTAGTGTGTTGGGTTCGCATATGTGATGGGTTTACTTACTGCGTGTGGTTGGTCACATGATTGTGGGCAGAACAATGTGTGACGCACACATTGAACTGTCGATGTGGCAGACGGAAGAAGCAATAATGTCCCACTTTTTTTTACCATTAGGCGTCTGGGCGGTGGTGGGCGGCAGATCTTCGGAGGCAGAAGCCTAGGTTTCGCAGCCCTAAGCTTTTTCTATGGTAGCCCTCAGTCGCTTACAAGGAAAAAATGCCCTTTTCTGTTTTTGGTTAGCGTATTGTATCCAAAGGCACAACCAGGACCCAGGCGGAACTTGGATTTTTCGTTGTCCCATCATAACGCGACCACTTCAAACATCCGGGACAACTAACCCCCCCAGCAGCACAGCAGCAGATTCTCGCCGGCGCGGTCAGAGGGTTTGCGTGTCCCATTAGGTCGACTGTGCTATCACCATTGCCTTTTCTTTTTCACAAAATCAGAATCGGACATCATGTCGTCCTTCGAGTCGGTTGTGAGTTTGACTTTGCACGCACACAATTGATGGTCCCGCCGGGGAACAAGGTGTTTCGGGGAATCCGGATGGGTGCATCAACTTGCACACACGCGACAAGACAGAGGCATTGTCATGAGAAGAGCACACGAGCGTGGAGACCCCCCTAATTCATACACTTTTCGGTGGTAGTGCCTCGATTATGCCCTATCTGGATTTCCTTGGGAAACACACCTCTCCGGCGGACGGACAGGATCATTCATATGGCATACAGATTTCTAATGGGAAATGTATATACAGGTTGTCATTGATGGCAAGGGCCACCTCCTTGGCCGTCTGGCCTCGGTTGTCGCTAAGCAGCTTCTCAGCGGTCAGAAGATCGTTGTAGTCCGCTGCGAAGCTCTCAACATTTCTGGCGAGTTCTTCCGCGCTAAGCGTACGTCGCATCCTCTCCCCCTCTTCCTGTCCGTTGACATGGCATATCGCAAGAGAACGTGGTCACGGCCTCGACCCGAGCAAAGACATACTGACCAAGTTTCTAGTCAAGTACGCCGCCCACCTCCGCAAGACCACCCGCTACAACCCCACGCGTGGTGGTCCCTTCCACTTCCGTGCCCCCTCGCGCATTTTCTACAAGGCTGTCCGTGGCATGATGCCCCACAAGACTGCCCGCGGTGCCGCCGCCCTCGAGCGCCTCAAGGTCTTTGAGGGTGTCCCTCCCCCCTACGACACTCAGAAGAAGATGGTCGTTCCCCAGGCTCTTCGCGTTCTCCGCCTGCAGCCCGGCCGCAAGTACTGCACTGTCGGTCGTCTCAGCCATGAGAACGGCTGGAAGTACCAGGACGTCGTTGGTCGGTATGTTATCATATTTCCCCACACATGTACTTTTCTACTCGACAGAAATACTGACAAGTCTTCACAGTCTCGAGGAGCGGAGAAAAGCCAAGGCCCAGGCCTACTACGAGCGCAAGAAGACCGCTGCCCGCCAAGTTTCCGAAGCGAAGAAGGCGGCCGCCAGCGCCAAGGGCGAGACGGCGAAGGCACTTGCTGTCTACGGTCACTAAAATGGCCGGATACTCTCGACCGAGCTGGACCAACGGAAAGGTTTCGGCGACTCGGGAATTGTCCGACTTTTCTCGTGCGTTTCATTAGATCGGCGCGGCGGTTTCTTACAGGGATTTGAACTTGATTTTGCTTCTGGGTGATGGCAACGGGTGCTGCGGCGGCTTCTGGCCGACTTCTTCTTCTTTTGCATTCTATTTACGGGACGGATGCTGGTTTATACTTCTAAAGCACAAAAGAAGGAATGTATTTTGTCCTGTTAATGGAACCGAAGAAGCGAAAGAAAAACAGAAGATCAAAAAAAGAGAAAGAAAGAGACTCGCCGGAACCTATATCGAAATGAAGGCACGGAAAGACAAACAAAAACCCAAAAAAAAACAAAAGACGAAAAAAAAGAGACCAACGATTTTCTCCCATGACGCATATGAGGAAGACTGGAAGACTACTCTTGCCGCGTGAAACTGTATGTGCAATGATGGGCATTCCCTGGGCGCATCCGTACCTTTGGGGACCCATTACTTTGTATTGCGGCCCTCTCACGTCTGGCGGTCGAAGTAGTCCATGACATTACATAGGAATCTTCAAGGAATTGCAATTCAATCAACATATGCTCGTTGTTGAATGTGATGTATGCACGTTGTGTGAGTATTCCGTATTTGTAAACCCTGACGAATCCCCCGCAATATTGAAGTCAAGAGAGTGTGGGCTGGGTTCGATGTTGGTTACCTATACATGCAACGTCAATCGCACTACGAAGAAAGACATCACCTGCAATATATTTGTTATAATAGGGCAAAGTATTTTCTACATGAACTAGCAGTAATCCATGAATTTCATCAAAGGAAAAGACATGGAAGACATTGTTGGCCCGCCACCTTTTCTGTTTCGTCATTTTACACTTGTTGTGCGGGCTGTGCGATGGCCCGGGGTAGATCATGTGGTGATAAGATAAGAGAGGGACCGACCTTTGTTGGAGCTAAAGTGTCCTTTTGAGGTTAGTCCTAGCTTATATGTCAATCCAGTCCAACAACTCCCCCATCCCCATTTCGACTACCAACCCTCTTCCTTGAGCGCAACACAAGGCTCACCAGGCACCAAGTACCATTTCAAACTCGCCATAATGTCCGACCTAACCCACTTTGACATGCAGCCACTCCAAATGGACCCCAAGTCCAAGGCCATCCTTGTTGGGCGTGGCACACGCGGCACCCGCGCCCTGCAATACGAGTTGGAGCAGCTCAACACCCTGCACCGCTCCCTCATCAGCACAACCGAAGCGGTCAGCCCTCACGGCGTGCCCCTACCCCCCGTCCCGGTCAACCCCAAGCGCAGCGCAAACATCAGCAAGCTCCGCGACAACGGCAACGCCGAGTACCGCAAGGCGCGCTACGAGGATGCCTTGAAGCTGTACACCCTGGGCATACAGATGGCACAGGGCCGTCCCGTGTGGGAGCCCTCGGCCCTGGTGCGAGAGGAGCTGTCCGGCCTCTACGCCAACCGCGCACAGGCGTACATGGCGCTTCAGCAGTGGCCCGAGGGCGCAGTCGATGCCCAGACATCGGTGGACATTCGCAGAGTCGGCAACGCAAAGGCCTGGTGGAGGAGGGGCAAATGTCTCCAGGAGATGGGACGGCTCGAGGAGGCTAGGTCATGGGTCAAGCAGGGACTTGAAGTCGAGGGCGAGGAGGCAGAGCTCATGTCCCTGCTCAAAGATATAAATTCCAGGCTGTCCTGAGCGAGGCAGGGCCTGGGCGAGTTCTGATTTTCTTTCTGGGGTCGCGGCTTGACTTAATACAGTGTGTTTCCTTACATGTTCGTTGGACTTATTCGTCGTCCTTCATGTTACCGTTGTTCGAGCACACACAACATAGGCCGTGGAGGGGCACTATCTGGCGTTGGGGGCTGTTTTAAAAACTTTTCAAATTATATTGCCAACAGGTTTATCAAGATGGGACGTTAATATACTGGTAATTTGCTATGTATTTTGGATACCATCTTTGGACCACTTTATGGAATCTCTGGTCAAGATGAATATACCTAAGCTCCATGGCTTGTTTTCTAGAAGCTCGCTGAAACGTCTCTACCTATGGTATCAAGCACTGTCCGAAATCCCGGGTCATCTAAGGAAATGTGTGTAGTTGATGAAAAAGACAAAAAGACAAAAACAAAAAAACAAAACCAAAAACCAAATTCCGACCGTAGAAAGCGATGAGTAAAAAATGATCCAACCAAGCCGCAGAAAAACATATGTGCATTGTGTCTGTGTGATGGTATACCTGCCGGATGACACTCAAGGCATGGTGCCGCATCGTGAAATAATCATCTATTGACAGGAGCAAAACGCATATGATGGGAGCAAATGACTGAAAAAGACGCAACGCGACAAAGACCTCTCCTACTCAGCGATATATAGAAAAAAAGTGGCAAAGCATAGACTTGGGCCGCAAGAAAGGGCCTTTTAGTAAGAGGTCATGGCTCGAGACATGTGGAGCAGTTGGCGTAAGAGATGACAGAGCAAAGCAGGACTCGGTCGTGCTCAAGTAGGCTCTTGGCTGAATAAGAAAGGAAAGGGGCCGAAGACCTATCGTGGACCGGTAAGCGGTCGACAGCGGACGGTCGGAAACAAGTCGAGGCGTGTTCAGAGTCGTCGGTGATGTCGTTACTTTTTTTCCCCGTTATGCCACCTGGGCCATAACGCGGAAGAGTGCAGGAGAGCGGGGTATGGAGTAACACGGTTTGTTATAAAGGGGCTATAGACATCCGGTACGACACAGGCTTGTCTATTGGGCCTTCTCGTTGATGTCGTCGGTGACCGAGGCTGTCTTACGACGAGGACGCATGACGGCGTCCTGTCCGCTCATGCGGCGCTCGAGGGCGCGGTCGAGCTTGGCGCCGAGGGCAATCTTGTTGATATTGTCCACCTTCTCGTCGCTCAGTATGACACGCTGGGAGGATAGGGCCTTGTTCTCCATGCGGTCGAGACCGGTAGCGATGTCACGGATCTCGTTTGTGGCTGTATCTGACGTGCCGACGCTGGGAGAGAAGGAGGGCGCGGCGACGCTGTAGGCGCTGTAGCGCACCGAAGTACGGGTCTTGCGAGGGATAGCGGTGTTAGTACTCATATTTGCGAAGGCTGAGCGAGAATGATAATATGTGGCGTGGTAGTTGTAGTGGTAGAGTGAAGCAGAAGAAGCGATTCATGGAGAGGGACACAGGAATAGTAGTTCTGAAAGGGGAAAAGGCTCTTTATTTGCAAGTAGCGGATCGAGGTGCCTCGTGGCAAGGTCCACCGTTCTGAAGCTTGAAGGGACAGGGGGACTTTTGTGTGATGCAGAGAAGAGTGGGGTGGATGAAGGGTTGTGCCATTCGAGTATGCACTCTGTACGAAAACTTCGCCTAAGAACTAGGGGAGATCGAGAATGGACAGGGCAAGAGCCGCAACAAGGACAATGGCAAAGAGAGCGAGAGTGAACATACCGAAGGAGCCATGATTGGGCGGGACGAGTCTAGCGAGCGAGGCATGGTGGGCAGATTATTACTGGGTGGTGGTGCGAAAGATATATAGTTGGGTGCAAAAAATGTGGTAATATGCGTCTATCGTTTTGTATAAATGCCGAAGAGTCGAAAACGGGGAAGGCCAGAGAATGGAGGGAGGGGGCGAGGGGGAGGTCGAGAGAAAGAGAAGAAAGAGGAGTTAGGGAGATCAGCAATAAGCGCGTGATATCAAAAGACGACCAGGTGGGGGAAATGGTCTCTAGCGCTGCGCCGTTGCACTTGTAGCTTCTAAGGGAGCTCTTAGAGGGTCGTGTGCTTGTCCGTATTATGTCAAGTGTACGGGTATAAGCGTGTGTGGGACGACTGAGAGCACGGTTGGCGAAAAATATGGAGCCGTTTGTCGTGGTGTTGTGGTAATATCTGTGAATATTAACACGTCGTAATAAGGCCGAGCCCGGTGACGGTGTCTTTCCCCTCTTATCTTCCGTGACGTTACGATGGAACGAGGCGGTTGTGACGTGGTTTGTTGTTTTGTCGGGGTATGGAATAGTCAGATGTGAGTGGGAGGAAGGAGATGATGGATGGAGAGGGGAGCAACAGTGATGGAACGAGAGTGAGAAAAACAGACGAGGACCAGGGGGGGTAAGGAGAGAGAAATAGAACAGGGTGGTGGTCATGGGATGGAAAAGGGGAGTGGGAGAGAGGGAGAGGGAGAGGGCGAAAGCTAGAAGTGGTGGAGATGCTTCCCACATGGTGCGGACAGGTGCGGAGCAAGGGGAAACTTAGGAGGGAGCACTTAGCAAGTCCATTAGTCCCTGTCGCTCCTTACCTTTCAATCCCGGTTGTCCTTTCTTGGTCACATACTGTACTGCACTGTTCTCAAAGACATAGGTGTGGTACTGTGTACATGGTAATACCGACGAAAATAGAATATGACGATTACAGTGTTGTTATACATATTGTCTTGCGCTGAGCACAGAGTTGTATCATAATACTATCAGGCATTAACGCACATTTAGAGTGATAGAGTGGCATCATTGCGTTGCAGTCTGATCTGTAGGTACATCGTGGTTTCCGTCGCGTGGCTACCTGTATGCGTACGAGCATCATCGAATCCACACAGTGTCGCCACATGGCCTCAGGGATAACATTCTGGTACCTTGTTTTCGTCAGCATCAGTGCCTCAATTGTTGTTTTGCTTGTCTAAACAGTTGACATGAAATAGGGAGTATGAGTACAGTAGTAATATCCCGATACTCGTGGTAAATGGCCTCCAGGAACCACCGTCTACCGCTAGCAGTCACCAAGCTTGTGTCGGACATACTACGAGCAATACTAAACACAGCAACTCCAGGAACGTCTCAGGACAATGACTCCAACTAAACTCTAGTATCACTACATAGACTAGCCTCTAAGAGCACTGACATCACTGCCCAATCAGCTAGTCCGGCCTATGACGGTGCTAATATCACCTTGTAATTAACATAGACACCATCACCAACACCTACCACCTATGTACATGTAAGGAGGCAGACCACCGTCATGTTGGCACTGAGCACAGAGAGCCCTCCGGCAAGAGTTTTCCCCAAAGTATACGCAACTGAGACAAGCCGGTATTACCATGGACCATGGCGGTCGCTTCCTTTGTACATGTAGGATAGTGTCGGCACTGGCGGACAGCGCGGAAAATTCTAGCTAGCCGGACGTATATCTTGAGGAGGATCGTCCATCGTCCATACCCCGACACCATTCCTCTGTCTTTGTCTCCCCGACGGAGTAAGTAGTATACTACATATTATACCATTCCGTGTTGCCATGAGTAGGCGTACCGCGTACATCATTAATTGATTTATCTTGTGCAGACAGACCATATCCCCTGTCATCCGTGCGCACACGTGGTAGCTACAACGGTACATGCAGCCCGCAGAGACTACCGAGAAGGGCGGGCCGCCTTGGGATCTCGCTTGAGTCGTTTCTTGCCTCTTCTGTTCTTCCTAATTGAGGGAGGGGAAAAGGGGGGGGGGCTTCATCAGCTAACAAGCCCTGGAGAACGGGTAAACCGTTTCCTCCCTATCTCTTTTTTCTTTCTTTCTTGCTGGGTACTGTCAACTTGTCTTGATGCAAAATTTGAGGCCGTGCCCCTAGCGCTCGTCTTTTGCATCACCGACACTAACTAGCTCATCCGACTAGTTGGAGTATTAATTCACAGATATCCCGACTAGCTCTCCGTTCATTACTTTCCAATCATTCAACCGGACCAACAGCGTCACCATTATCCATAATGAGACGCCCCCGAGTGTTGGCAAGCACGTTGCTGCATCCCAGATCCCTACGACGTATCAATAACATAGCTAACACTGTGGCACACGGTTACTTGGAGTCTGGCGCATCCGTGAGCTCTGGCGGTTCTATGCGTCCGAATCGACATCCTCGTCTTTTCCAATATCTCTCAACACTACGGAACCCGTACGGCCTACGGCGTACTAGTAATAGTCTGCATGAATACCGTATATTTCCTTCTCTCTTTCTGTCCCCTTCTGTACATTTTATTCATTGCTCTCTTTATTCAGTCCAAAAGACCTAGTATAGACATTCACATTAATACTTGATTGAATACGGATACTTTTCTCCATATTATGATACTACTTGACCTGGCTCCCTGACTTAAACACTCACGCACATGTCTCGTTTCATCATGGCCCACGTCTTAAAGATTCAACCCCGGTCAGCATGCTTGTCCAGTGTCCGAGTGGCAGAAGCCAAGGAGCTATTGCCATCCGCAATCAATAAGCTCGCAGCCTTTTTTTAAGCAGTGTACAACCTATACTGGAAATATCGTGCGTACAGCTACTGCAGCTTGCAATAGCCTGCCTGAGTACGAGTGGTGGCTCATGTCTGTAGGAGTGCAATTGCAAGGCCCGGATATCAGGACCGAGTTTATTCTGTTACGCCAAGAGTGCCTCTTAGACTCATGGATCTAGGGTACTAATGGTCAGGCAACCTAGATATTCAAGGAACAGCGAAGAGAAAAACGTAATGGAACCCCCTAGAGTAAAAATAACAGGAAGAAAAAAAAGAAGAATACGGAAAAATAACGCCAAACATGCTGTGCTACCATAACCGCAACCATATTTTCGACCAGATACTAAAACCTGCAAGTCTCATGTGTTAGTCAATCAAGGGATGCAATAAGGGGATAGCAAAAGAAAGGAAGAAAAGAAAAACAAAAAAAGATAGAAAGAGGAAAAAATCGTACCTGATTTCATATGATCCAGCCCTGGTCATGTAGCGAACCCACTTAACACTAGAATAGTTGCTCTTCTCAAACACCTTGAGGTAGCGGACGAGCAGCCCCGAGCTGGTGAACATGAGGAGACTAAAGTTGAGGCTGAGAGGCGGCCGGCTCCAGGCGCGCTGGTTGGTCATGCTGGTGAGGCTGGCCTCTGCGCTGAGGACGTACTCGCTCTGGCCGGTGAAGCGCGAGATGCGCCATACGATGACGTTCTCCGACGGCTCGTACTTGGCCTTACCCTGGGTGCATCGCTCCGTGGTGCTGGCCGTGTTGAGGGGCGTGGGAATTTTTACGACGACGTTTGTGGCAAACAGCTTAGGGCCAAAGTTGGCCTTGATGCCGATACTGTACTCGACCTTGGACCGGCCAACCTCGTTGACAATGGCGTGTACCTTGAAGGGTAGGTTGACATTTTCGGTTGCGCGGTAGCGCATTAGTTCAAACTCGCCGTCGGGGGGCACAAAGCTGATGATGCGGTCGCTGTCAAACTTGCCCAGCTTGACACACTGGTGGAACTGGCAGTCCTCTAGCGTCACGCTGCCAGCCGCCGCCTTGGTCGCCTTGGTGCCCATGCGGTTACCGTTAGGCATGCTGTGCATACCGTCATTGTCTAGCAGAAGACGGTCGTTGAGGCCAAACTTGCATTCGGGAGTGCCCGACAGGTACGCCCTCATGACGATCTGCCCGTTGACATCAGCTCGTAGAACCGCCCCGGTTGCTGACATGAGCAGGTTGACGTCCTCGATGACATCGACAAAGGCCTCATTCTTGCGATACTTGACGTCGGCCTTGCGCCACGAAAGGGCTCCCGTCGCTTGCATGGTAATCTTGGACGTATCGGCCGGTTTTGATTCTGACTTGACACCCTCCGTGGTAATATACATTTTCAGCGTGTCGGTCTCGGTGTTTTGGGGGTATCCAAAGTCGATGATTTCTGCCTGTCTGTCAGTCACCGTCCGCCCCAGGAGGCAACGCCCTCCCTGTGATCAAAGAGGATAGGGGTCGGGGATATAGAACATACCATCCAGAAGCTCGTAGACGAGGACAAAGTTATTCTTGACAGCCTCTTCATCAAACTTGCCAAAGTAACTGCGGCCCAGCTGGATCAGGCGGTAGAGAAACTCGAAGACGAGGGCGGCATTGGCGTTGCTCTTGGTGATGGCCACCAGGTAGATATTCTCATGTTTGACATGGCAAAATGTAGTGCTTCCCAGTGTCAGGACGGGGGAGCGGACTTGAGCATTGGATATAACCTGGATGCGGAAGACATCGGCAAGTCGCGAGCGACAGTCGGTGCGGAAGGCGCGAAAGATGAGGTTCTCGCCCTTTTGGTTGAAGATGAGGACGCCCGACAACATGTTGACCGGGGGGCGGGGACAGGGTGGGTTCGGGTTGAAGGAGCTGTGACCAGTGGGTGGCGGAGGGATGCGGGCGGTAGAGAAGGGATGGACGGTCGGTAGGTGCCAGGAAGGTGGTGGCTAGGCGCGTATGAGGCCGTCGATGGTGGGGAAGCAGGACGATTGTTTGATGAATATCGGGAGCTGACTACTCGTTGTTGTTAAACGCTTAGGGGCTTCTTAGGGCTCCATAGAGAGCCTTCAGGGGTTGTGGGACTGTGGGATGGAGGGGCACAATGATTCCTTGGTACCGCAACTTGACAGAGGAGACCCAACACACTTGTACGAGTAGAAAGAGAGCCTCAGGAGTTGGAGGGAGGGACCCGAGCAAGTTTGGAGTTGTGGGGCCCAAGGCGGTGAGAGTGCTCATTCATATCGTCCCATTCATGATTCAGCATGCCACACCGTGCCATAACAGGGCTACACGGGCTTCGCGGGACCCAAATTCGGAAACTCCGTACGGAATACGGAATACTCGGGAGTAGATAGGATCTCATTCGGTTAAGGATCGAGTCGTTTGTTGTAATAACTTTCAAGCAACTTCTTGCTAAACATCATACGCATGGCACATGCTATCCATGGTCCCAATGTCCATACCAATACTGGAGCTCAGAGTTCAAGCACGAGAACCCCGTACTCGTATGCTTACCAGATCTGGTATGGAACGTTGATGCCACCCATCTGCTGGTGCTGATTTCAGGCACGATATTCTAATCACATTACGTCGCGGCGGCTAGGAGCCCGCCCACCAGCCGAAAAGTAATTTACTGCAGTTGGGAAGCAAGCAAAGCCTTCGTCTGCCCATTCCTCTAGGCTATTTATTATTCCTCGTACTTCGTATCACTGCCGCTAATAGCTATCATAATAGCCAGCACAATAGCGCGCGCCACCCGTGCTGTTGGTCTCTTCCCCTGTAGCCTGCATTTCCCGTGCGTCACTGGATCCGAGGAACTCTAAATTGCGTCTATATCCAAGACATCATCAGCCCTCTTTCCTTTTATTTTTTTCCTTCTCTTTCTCCCCGCCCCATCCTCATCTTCCCACGCCCGGGAACTCCTCCGTGACCTCTTAGCCCTCTTCATTACCATAATCACCCTCATTATGTGCGACGATTTCCCCGAGTCCTTTGTCGGCCCCTGGACCGAACTACTCGGTGCCCATGCCAAAGACCAGACCGGTGACCTACCCAACTACTACGTCAACGACCCAGCATCCCTCATCACCACCAGCGTCCCCCGGGCACTCTATGTCGGCACGGGCGTGTCGATATTTACGCGAGCTCTCCTGCCCGCCATTCTCAATGCCAAGCACACCGTCGACTTTGTCACCTGCTACTGGGCCCCCTCACCCACGCTCGACTCGTTCCGCGAAGCCTTCGAGAAGCTGGCCGATTCGCGCCTCGAGACTCCCCACGCACCCACCCTGCGTGTTACCATTGGCCTGTCATCACGCAGCCTCTTTCAGAAGCTCCTTCATACGTCATCCCCTGATGGCTACGTCTACCCGCCCACCAAGTGGCACCAGCTGGGCTTGCCCAACCCCGAGACGCTGCGCAAGGCTGGCATCGACCTCACCGTCAAGAGCCTTTTCTTCACACCCTTTAGCGTCATGCACTCTAAATACCTCATTGTTGACGATTCCAGGGCATGGGTCCCCAGCTGCAACGTGAGCTGGGAGCGTTGGTTCGAGGGGTGCGTCGAAGTCGAGGGCGACGTCGTTCACCTGCTCAGCACCTTCCACAGGAACGTCTGGGACCCCAGAAGGGCGACAGCCTCTGAATCCTGGCCTTCCTCCCCCGGCAGCGACAGGAGGCGCTCGTCTATGACTCTGAACAAGACGCCTCTCCGCTCCAAGCGCGCGTCATTGCACTCGGGCGGCCTGCAGTTTTCACCCACGCAATCGCTTAAGTTCCCGGCTACCACCACAGTGCCCACCATCTTTCTTCCCTCTTCGCACCACCGCAACCCGCGTTTTCGCCTCTTCCCCTTCCTATCGCATTCGGATCCGCCTATGACACCTCTTAACGCCGCCTTCCTCACACTTGTCGCTAGTGCAGAGCGCAACATTAGCATCGTCACCCCAAACGTCACATCGTGGCCCGCTATGGAAGCCCTCCTCGCCGCCCTGGCCCGTGGCATTGACGTCCAGATTCGCACCAGTAAGAATATGATGATGCTCGAGCAGCTCGTCACCGCCGGTACCACCACGGCATGGTGTCTAGACCGCTTCATCGCCAAGTACAAGGCTATTGTCAACCGGAAGCCGAAACTGAATGACCCAGAGGCCCCCGCCCTGGGCCCTGGACGCCTCGAGATCCTGTACTACAAGCCCCTCGAGAGCCGGCTGGCAGAGGATGACGAGCCCGTCCTGTCTCACTTCAAGATGACCATGGTCGATGACGAGTACCTCATCCTCGGATCCGCCAACCTTGACAGGGCAAGTTGGTGGACCAGCCAGGAGATTGGTGTTCTCTTCCACGTCCCCGAATTCGAGGGCCGTCAACTTTGGGAGGGAGTCCTGGAGAAGCGTGCCGAACCTGTCTTTCGTTCGGCAGACATGTACTAATATCATACACCTCGCCACTCTCTGATTATTGTTTATTTGTTCATTTTTTTTTTGTTCGGGGCTTTGGACACACATAAGCCAGTGGAGGGACTGGACCTGACATCTACTACTTTTCTCATATTACATATACAGCGAGCAGAGGCACATAGACACACACACACACACATACGTGGTATATATCTAGACTGGTACATAATATCAACTGATTTGCTCTACGGCATCCCGTTAAGACAATCCTTTATTATTTATGACATTTGCCATGCCTGTTTGTACTGCCCCGTGACATTTCTTCAACTTTATGCTCCGTTATCTACCGGAGTGGAACATGAATGTTCTTGGACAGACGCACACAAATATCCCCATCCGTCATATATTAAACGGTCTTTCCAAGTCCAGGGCCCCGGTCATCACAGACATAGCCCGAGGGCATCGGTGAAGCTGTACTTGCCGGAGTAAGGATAGTAAGTGAGCCCATCCGGGCAAGGGTCGGCCGGGTAATACCGCACAGCGTCATTGGACACGCAGATGCCAGGCTTGTCGCAGGCCATGCCGCAGTTGTGAGCGTCTCGCGGATCGTCACAGCACTGGTGGCCGTCTTCGCAAGTGGCGGGGTTAACGCGGAAGCCACCACACAGCGTATATGGCTTCTTTTTGTTGACATTGCTGCTGCTGTCGAAGAAGCATCGACCGGAGCATCGGTTCACGTCGGTGCACGAGTCAGAGACGGGCTGACACGTCAGGCCCTCCGCGCAGGGGGCTATCCCGAGCCCGCATGGTTGCCCACCCTGTGGAGTGCTGTTGGCGAGTGGCACGAGGGTCATGGCTAGGCTGAGGATCTTGACTATACTTGTGGAGTGCATGGCCTATGTTGGAAGGGGCAGGAAGCATCGGTGTTCCAAGAAAGGAGGATGCGGTAAAAGGGTTGCGGGTTTAGAAATATTTGAGTGAATAGTCAGCGGTGATTAAAATGCTGCTTGATGAGATGTGTATGAAATTAGGTGCTCCCTTTTGTAGTTCCCCATTCCTTCCCGATGGGCAATGGTTTAGTGTTTCCTTCCTCAAAAGATACCAGAGACTGTCGTTGCGTAGAGTAGCATCAATGACATCTAGTCAACAGAGTCAAAATGAGAGCCACCTCGATCTGGGGTGTGTGAGCTCTGTATATTCTACATGTATCCCCAGCCAAAGAAGAGAATCCAGGAGGGTACGGTCTGGGGGAGGGGGGGACCTCGTCCAAGTTCGATTGTGCATGCAACTTTGACCAGATATAAAGTTTTCTAAGAAGCATGTTCTAGAGTGCTCTCTATGGAATCCTGTGAGTGACCGTTGATAGCCTTCGGCTGGGTACGGGAAGTCTCATGGCGGATACTGCTCAGTATCGCCGTAGAAGGAATTCTTCTCTACGAAGATGGGTGTGCATCGTATCGACGTATCCAAGTTGTCATGCCTTGGCCTATTTTACGATGATTCTTCGTCAGCGGGCTGGTTGAATGGGCCTTTGTTAGCGCCGTTGCGTGTAGGAGGTAGCAATATTGATGTATGGGTTGGGGAGGACTGGCGATGCGTCGTTCTTTCCATAGGGAGCAGCATCATGGAGTTGTCATTAGTGAGGGGAACGGTTGGCGGTAAAAGTTGTCGTGGGCGGTAAATAATATAATATAATAGGTTGTCCCTATGATTTATTTGATGGGCGCGAAGTGACGATACTCGGATAGCGTGAGCTTTCCCATATTTTCTAGCTGATACTACGAGTATTTCTCCCTTGGTTTGATTCAGTTTGAATTTCCCACTATCAGAATGTACTCCGTACATCCCGCGCATCTCCTGTCTAAGGAGGCAGTGCAAAATCCTGATTGGGGGGGGGGGGGGGGGGGGCGGCACGCCAATACAAGCCAGCCCCTTGGTCAAATACTGGGGCGGGTCACTTGGGAAAAAGTTTTAGGGAGGGGAGGAAGGGAAGCATACGAAAGAATGTCATTTGCGAAATATTAAATATGGTAGCTTTGCAAGTATACGTATAGTGATAATATCGAAGTATTCGTAGTAGAGACCAAGCGACCAAGACAAGGCAAAGGGACATTACGTAGTCTTATAGATAGCAGCTGAATAGTTGTATGATTGTTGGAAGAGGCTAGAGTGTGTTGGCCATGTTGGCGATTAACCCTACATGCATATATACCCATATATACCCGTTGCTTGGCCCTCTCGGCATTGCTTGAAATGAATGGAGAGAGTCGTCGCTGTTACAGTGGTAAGACTCCGTACCTCCAGCTCTACCCCGTAATAGTCCTCTGCGCGTTGTAATATGAGTAGACGTCTGATACCGAATAGTCTGAAACGCACGGCCATGTTTTAGGTGCAGAGACGGGTCAATGAGTTACTGGTGGCCGGTGCCTGGAACTTGCAGCCAGGAGGCACCAATAGTCGTTTGTCTAGCTGCTCAGTCGGTCTAGTCGACATCTAATGGTCGTCGTGGGGAACCGGCGCAGAGTCTAGAAATGTAGAGATGTTTGTACCTGCTTTTGGCAGCAGGTATGGGGAGCAACCCATTACAGGAATAAACGCAGACATGTACAGATTATATTCGTATTAAAAACTTCCCGTACAAATTGGTGTTGAGCTGCAGTAAAGGCATTTCTCGTGCCATTTTGGGCTGGCTCGTATTACAGGTGCGACTGCTCAGTATTAGTAGTATTAATAATACTAATAGTATTAATAATGGTTATGGACCTTGCATTACTCGTACTCCTACTACTACTTCTAATCCTACAAGTAACGTACGAAGTACGGAGTATAACAATAATACGACTCTACGAGCGCTCACACTACCAATGACTACATACTCGTACTCGTATACATGATATTAATGCTTGTACTTGTGTAATGCCCCACCTACTCTGTATTGTGTACGAGTAAGATGCGCCCCATACCTCAACGCACATTTCACAGCAGAAACCCCCCCATTAAAAACAACCGATTTAAGAAACCAATGAATCCGCCTAGATTTTGTAATCTAGTATTAGTTGGTGCCCGTATAATACAATACCGTAGGCGATGCCATATATATTTACCTTTTCATATGGAACGCGTATAGAAAAAAGGTACTGTGCGTTGTGGTGTGGAGTAATATCTCCTAAGAGGGGCGTTGCACGTTGTACGTTGTACGAGTAGTAATAATAGTTAGTAATGATACAAGTAGTCATAGCTCATGGACCCGACACGTATGCCCACCTCCCGCCCAAGAATACTCGTACGATGCAGCTCAGGGCCCTGGGCCCTGCTACAGCCCAATGCCATCCATGGAAGAAGGCAGGCGCCAAAAGGCACCCGAGGGCCGACAGCCCATGACACACACAAGCTTGTACAGATTAGAGATTGACATAATGTCATGTTGTGATTGCCTCACTTTTGACCTGTTACCAGTCTACGACGGACGAAAGGGCCCGACAGCTTACATCTCACGTCCATACATACAACGTCGTACGTATTAAAAATGGATAGATAGGTAGGAATAAGCCTATAGCGCTACATCGCATAGCAGTCCATGACTTCGTTAAAGGCTCGAAGCCATGGGATTTTCAGGGGTTCAGAGACCCAGAAGACCCAGAGTTCTGGCAGTAGCCACTGAGAGTCTATCGCAGCGCATCATTGGCGCATCAAACCCCCCAGAAGGCCCCAGACGACTAGAGATGCCCCAATTTACCCGCTCCACTCTACCAGTCAAGACGGGTCCATCCTTTCAGTCTACATTTACTTCTCTGTCTCTCAATGCTTGATGCTAGTGTTATGCCTGTGTGAGTACTCCGTAATACAGTATTAACGCAATCGCCATCATCCATATCAGGGGCCCAATTCTATTGCCACCAAGCTTCCCCATTCATCCACCCAACCATCCCCAACCACCCCTCCATATACTCGTACCCTCCCTCTCTCTCCCTCCTCCCACCTTCCGTCCTATTATTACATAGGACCTTGTCTTTTTGCTCTGTGCCCATCATCCTTTTCTTCTACCTTTTTTCTTTTTCTTTTTCTTCTGTCTATTCATTCACACGTCGAACCTTGACTAGTATTACCTCGAGAGCTATCCAGCCATTCGTTGCTTGATATCCTGCTTAACACCAAGGAAACATAAAAAACACATCCATCATTGTGTCCCTGGCGGTCATTTGACCACGCGATAGCATTGTCTATCCATTGTGCTGCAGGCAGCCCATCAACACTACACTAATACCTCTCTTAAAAAAAGAATTCTCACACTTGACAACCACTTCCACCAGCATGCATATCACCAAAAAGTTTGATCGCGCCTTCCAATGGGCTGGCGAAAAGATGGGTGGCGAAGCCCGAACCTCGCATAACGAGGAGTTCAGGACTCTCGAGGCTGACATGAATGTTCGCAATCATGGTGCGTTGCATCGTCACCTACTTGCTCCTCCTTCCTATACACCAGAGCTTCAACTGACATGCTGTCTACACAGGCACCGAACGTCTCCAAAAGTCGATGAACCTCTACGTCCGCTGGCTCGGCCGCCGCTGCGACCCTCTCGAGGACAGGGACCGCACCACCCCGACCGCCCTCTTCGGCCGTACCATGGCCGCACATGGCGAAGAGTACGAGGCTGACTCTCAGCTCGGCAACAGCCTGGTCGCCGTCGGCCAGGCTAATGAGCGCATCGCGTCCATTCAAGAATCCTTCCTTGAACAGGCTAATGCCACCTGGGGCGGCAGCCTCGAGCAGAGGGCTGCCATGATGAAAGAGTACCAGGTACGCCATACCTGCCCGACCCTGTATGCTACCGTCTCAACGTGACTGACCATCTCGACAGACTGCCCGCAAGAAGCTTGAGAGCCGTCGCCTTGCCTACGATGCCAGCAATGCCAAAATGGAAAAAGCTAGGCGCGACGACTTCCGCGTCGAAGAGGAAGTTCGCAACAACAGGACCAAGTTCGAGGAGTCGAGTGATGATGTGTTGCAGCGCATGCAGGATATCAAAGAAGCTGAGAGTGACGGTGTTGCCGCCCTCAACGAGTTTCTCGATGCCCAGCTCGAGTATCACGAGCGTTGCGCTGAGGAGCTTCGTCGTGCTCGCGACACCATCTCGGGCGCTGCCAACTATTCTTCGTCGCGCTCCCAGGAACCCCCTGTACCGCGCCCTCGCGCCGGCTCGCGCCCTATCGCTCCCTCTCGTTCCAACTCACGGCAGGATGCCCGTTCCATTGCCACCTACGACGAACCGCAGCAGTCCGAGCATTGCGAACCTGGACCGCCTGCCCCGCCTGCTCCACGCGTAGCTGCACGCCGCCCCTCAGCTCCGCCGCAGCCCCCCCGACCTGTGATATCGAGGGCAGCCACAGCTCCCCGCACAGCCGCAGCCGCCCCTCTTCCAGTTTCCAAAGTGCGAGGAGATGCCTCGTACCTTCGAGGCGGTGACGATGTATTTGCGGACGACACATCCACAGCTAGTGGCAGCGGGAGCCCTAACTACGGCGGCCAGACTCTCAGCCCCGCCACCAGCTACGGCAGCCTGAGCCGCAGCCTTGGGCCTGGTGTCGGTGGTGCCAAGGTACCGCCGCCCGTCAACCGTGCCAAAAAGCCTGCCCCTCCGCCAGTCCCTACCCGCAAGGAGAACCTCGGCTTTTGACCGCTCCGTATCGTTTGCATGTCTGGTGATTGGCGCCTCTGAAAGTATTTTCCCTTTGTTGGCGTTCATAATTTTATATGGGAGGGAGGCTCTACAGTTGTTCAGGAAACACATGCTATCATTGCGAGGCCCTATCCTCGAACACGTTACGCAATGGGGTTTTCTGTATGACGATAAACATAGCTTGTGCATTGTAGCTCATCTTGTAATGTACTCCCAACGGAAGAAGGGTTAAAATGTGTTAATTAATACAAGGCAAAGCATACATCTGGCTGTACTTGCGCTTAGTCGTAGACGGGTGACAGGGTACAGATACAGTATATAAACAGTGCGAATCACGGATTTGATTTTGAGGTGACAAGGCTGGCTCTTTTGGATTCAGGAATGGCGCCGACATCAACCTCGTACACCACCACAACAACGCTGCACAGAGCTGCTCCCATGGACGGACGAAAGATGGCGACGGAAGATGAGCGGTACCGAACCTCGAGCCAATACCGGCTATGGTCATTTTCGCGGGCTCAGCTGCATCAGCTGCGGGACAAGACCAACATCCTAGCTCGACAGCAGAACGCGGCGCGGCTGGGAGGAGGGGAGACAGGGGCGTCGCTAGAATTCCTAACAGCAGAGGAGGAGCTTTCGCTTGTGCGTTTCTTTACGATCGAACTGATACGCGCCGCACAGTTCTGCGAGCTGCCTACTGAGATCAGGTCTACGGCGGCCATATTTTTCCGACGCTTCTACGTGACAAACTCGGTCATGACGTACCCGCCCACCGAGCTACTCAAGACGTCCCTCTTCTTTGGTTGCAAGGCAGAGGGCTTCTACATTCGCCTGGGCCGGCTGACGGAGAAACTGTCGGGCACCACACCAGAGCAGATCCTTGCGGGAGAGTTCCTTTTGTGCCAGGGCATCCGCTTCGCGTTCGACGTGCGCCACCCATTCCGGGGTCTCGAGGGAGCCGTCCTGGAGTTAAGGCGGAGATTGCCTGCTGAGCAGGAAACACGCATTAACAGGGCACATGCACGGTCTCGAGAGATCCTTAAGTTTAGTCCCCTTCTCACGGACGTCTACTTCCACTACACACCCAGCCAGATCATGCTGGCTGCTCTACAAATGGCCGACGCGGGCCTCGCAGACATGCTCATACCTGCCGAAGGTGTGCAGTCGGACATTCGGGAAAAGATTATGGCCACCGTACAGGGTTGCCGTGTCATGCTGGAGCAGGAACCACCTGAGAGGATGGCCGAATACTGGGAGACTGTAAGCTTTGCTTCCCCTAAACCACTTGACCTTCTCGTCCCTCACCTCGACTGATCACCTTCTAGGTCGAAACGGCCAAATCTATGAAGCCGCTGCGGAAGAAACTTCAGAAATGCCGAGACCCAGACCGAGTCGACCTCGTTGCTCTACAAAAGGCCAGGCGCGAACAAGCCATGAACAAGGAGGTCAAGAAGCCCACCTCAAAGAGTGACAACCCCTTTGGCGGCGACCTAAAGTCCATTAAGGCTGATGATCCGTTCGGAGGAGCTTTGTGATATTTGGATTGGACCTTTGCCCCTGCTGCTGCAGTTACGGCTGACGCACTGAAGCTTGTTCCTCCCTTCCGCCGCCAAAAGAAGGACGCCGACGTAGGAGCATGTGTGTGGTTCTAATTGCAATATGAGCCTCCTATCTTGGCCTGTTTCTTCAATCCCTTGTGTTGAAATGGGTTTACGAGGGTTGGTATGTTTGTAAACCCCTAAGACCCAGCCAACTGGCATACTTAGGCTCGGATGGCTCGCTCCGAGTGGCCTCCAGAACTAAGCTAGGACATGTGCCAATACAGACTGCCTTTTAGACTCGGTACCGCGGAAGAGAGTCCAGGCTATAATATCCGACGTTGGATATACTCGGGATTTTGAAGCCGGGCCTGGATGATGACCTGCTACAAGGATTTAGTGGCCATAGCCTTTAAGAACAGGCATGCACGATTGTATGCGAACAGTGATTAACGAAGAGAAAAGAAAATATTTGAGGACTTCTTGCTATTCGACCTGCCAGTATTGCAGTCATATGGAGTTAATGAACACAAATATATACAATAACAAATAATTATATAGTAGTGCCTGTACCGTGATATCTTTGTTTTCATGGGTAGCCTAGCAGGGCCAATCCGCCTAATGTAACGCCAAACACGCCAGACGCCAATATCTAAAAGCAGCCTGCTGCAGAACGAGGTAAAAATTTGAGTGATTGCTAACCCTTTATACCGGGCTGGTGATGGCGGTGCCAATGATGACATCCGTCTCGAACGAGGTGTCGTCCTTGCGCGAGCTCCTGCCGACAGAAAACTCGTCGGTGCGAATTATGCTTCGAGGGCTCTGCATTTTGAGCTCGAGATTCTCATCAGATGATGCCGAATAGCTGCCACTGCTGCTCAGGACTGTAGACTTGCGTACCATCGACTTAGCGTTCCAGCTACCGGCGTCGGAACGCGGTGTGCCGTGGACTTTGTGGGCCTGAGATCTCGTGGTGTGCTCCATGACATGTCCCGAAATCTTCTTTCCAGCCAGGCCAAGGAGGGGTCCGATGGTGGGCATGCATGCGCAGATTAGTCCCACTCCGCCCTCAACGGCCGTCCACATGTAAATATCGGCTGTGATCCATGTCACGTCGGCGCCGAGACCGACGGCAGAAAGAGTGCTCGTCAAACGAATAATTCCAGCGATAATGGCACTGAAAACTTGTCAGCCCCTGTGATAGAGATGAATGAATCTAAGAGAGCCAACTGACAAGGCACCAGTGGCAAAGACACCCAGCAGAGATAGTTTATTGGCACGATTGAGCTGGATTTTAGAAAGCATGGCGAGCGGGAGAGCAAAGATGAGGATGTCGCCAAATGTATTGAGGGCACTAGTGGAGATGACGAGAGGAGCGTTGTGAGCTCCGCACGTGCCTGCCGGAGGGGGCGCAAGAGCAGGATTCTGCTGCTCCCAAAAGTACTGGGGAGGGTAGCTGTTTCAACGCGTCGATCAGTCCCACGGAGGTGAAGGAAAAAGAGAGATGCGAAACATACCACTGGAAGAGGGCAGCGAAAAACGACGAGATGAACCAGCCTCCGTTGTAGATGGCGATGGCGATCAGGCACCACCTGAACCACAGTATCCTCAGGGTGAAGATTCTCTTGTAAAAGGCAAGGATAGACAGCTTGATGAAAAAGTGGGTTGTAAAGTAAATAAGGGCATTGAAGAGGCCGATCTGGAGAATGCGCCAGATACGCGTGGGGTCGACAGCCCAGACATGCTTTCCCATACCAAACGGAAGAGCTTTGACGCATAAAATATTAATTTCTCGTGATCAAGAGAGGGGAGTATAATGAGGTACAGGATAATCTATGTGAGTATATACCTATGACGCACGAGACGCAGTAGAGGATGACGAAGAGCTGTAGAAGGCAGCATGTAAGTCTCGACTTCGTAGCATATGGAGCAGGAGAAGAGGTATATGAAGAATTAGAAGAAGGCTGACCAGTGCGGCCAATGCTGACCAGTCGTCCAGCTCGATACCGAGGCGACGGTTGTATCTGGCATAGAAACGGAGTCCGATGGCGACTGTGCAAAGGACGATGAAGAGAGTGCCAACAGCGATGACGGACACACTCCGATCTTCATCCATTCGAGAAATTTGGCCAGGCGTCAACTTTGGCGTCACCATCGTGAAGGTAGACATGCCGGATTATGAAAAGAAAGGCTTGAAGGTATAGCGGGCAGTATAAATAGAGAGAGACAGAAACGGAAAGTGGACAACGAGAACAAAATGAGCCAAGAGGAACAGCAGGCTGGTGCCCTTTCTTGTACGGCAGATGGGCTTACAAGGTGGGAAGCCGAGGGCACGCGTAAGCAACAGTAGCTCGGCAGTATATACGCCGTACTACCATCCATCTCGTGGTCGATTACGAACATGTTTTCCAGTTAGGCGATTCAAGGCTCAGACGGCTGGCGATTTGGCGCAGCGGCGGGGCCGTATTGTACGACGTAACAGGGCAACCGGATCATGGGCGATCATCCTTCGAGAAGAATGGGACGGCGTATACCAACCGTGTGCAGAGCGCGTGCATGTACGACTATTGGTAGGATCACGCATATTGGCCTTACGTAGACTACTAGCAGGGCTAAGGTAGCACTCGTGCATATTACAGTACTATTGCCGTGTTAACATAAGTACGTGGGAATCGCGACATCAAGTCGAGCAAAAGTATATGTGGCAAGGTTCATCATCAACGCTCTTCTTAGCCACATGTCTTGAATTCATGCAACCTAATAATTGTGGTATTCGGCGATTAGCCCCTACTTATATTGCGGTGCCATAATGGGGGCTAAGATAATTTGAATAAGACGATCGCTAGGTTCATGGAGGCGATGACGGCATGTAGCTACCATCATGTTCATTGCACTCCCCAATGATGCTAGGGTGGACTGATGGATATCAGATGTAAGAGGCCGCTGTCATCGTTGATGGCACACGGTCACGCAGACGTACAAACTACTCCTCCAAAATCTCTTTGGTGAGTGATGCCAGTTAAACAGATGCCACGTATCCATGGGCATTCGTGGGTATTACGGCTTATAAATAGGATGATGAGCAGCTGTAGATCACTAAAAGGCAGTCACGAATGAAGGACACACTAAGGGATAATGTACTAGTGCCACACTCCTCCCTCTATATAAGAATAGCTGTGGGTCAGGGATTTCCTATATACCTATACCCCTATAGGTGTCTCCTAAAGGAGACACGGGACACACACACACACACAATACGGATATAAACATATCAAGAGATGATCCAGTCCAAAAAGCCGAGAAAACAACCCTTGGATTACCTCACGGGTCACGCTAATGAAGCAAGCGCCAGGCTTCGCTAAGTACAGAGAGACAATCAAAGGCAGACATGATGCTTATTTATTGGTAGCATGCATGCTTACTACATGCATCTGCAAGCCATGTATCAATATCATTGGGTCACAAAACGCCATATGCAGCAGTGCCGCTTCGTCCTCGTAATACCAGTTTAGTGTAGGATTGATCCATGAGCACTACGTTGTGGATGGATAGGGCAGGGAGGAGGAAGGTTGGCTGGTGTACGTATTAGGTGAAGGATCCATTATCTCCAAATTACAGCTCACATGGTGCCTGCTCGAGCTGTTGACACAACACTGAGCGCAAGCAATTACAGAGTTCTACGACTTTTGGTACGGGCCTACTGGATGGAACAGTTTGTTGGTCCATATGCCCAAGACGATATGTAGAGTATTATGTGCAGTAGCTGACCTGTGGCGATGATCTACGCCCAAATGGTTGCAGGGCCCTTGGAGCCGTGCAGCAGACGCAAGCCACTCGACGGCTATCAGAAAATCCTACATCCAGCCTATACCCGATCTGTACCCGCTCTACAGGCTTACTGTACTTTTTATGGAGACTCTCGCATCCGCTAACCAGCCTAATGCAGCTTGCAACTCTTACTCTGACAAAACCACTTTGCCTTTGTCACAAAAGTCGGTTTGGAGGCATCAATCTTGTTGTGTGTATTTTTTGGTACGTAGTATTATTACTATTGGATAGTAATAACACTACATAATATACCGTACTCCCGTCGATCTATCTCCTTCATCCAACTCTCCCACAGCTACTATATGTAGTATCATAATATGCCAGTGCTTATCTTATCCCTACCCATCATTGATTAGCACATGTACATGTAGACATGCACACATATGGGGCTTACCTAGTATTACTGTTTTGGGCATGTGTCTTCTAGTTTTATCCCTGCATCTGCCCTGCAGCCCTTATTTTCTGCTCGCCTTGTCTGACATCTAGCCCCTCCCTCAGCAGTTGCCTCTTTTTCTTGTCCTCAGGTTGGCCGAGAACTCGTGCTGCTTTGGTCCGATTTGAACTACCGGCCCGTCTACAGATAACATCTATTACCAATGCCGTGCTATAAAATATTACTACATCCACAACGTGCCGCCCTTTGCATAAAGCTGTGCGGTGTGATTCACGAGAAATCTACTCATATATGTCATGATGATGTTACATGTAGTAATACTCGTACATCTCATTTCGCCTTAAGTTTCTCGCTCACCGGCAGCTGGAACGCAGGATTATGGAGTACCTTGGCAGATACAACGGATACGCATGCTGTATCTTGCCTTCCCAAGCATCCGCTTGTGATGCCACCCATCCCATCTGCTGTGAAACGAACCCCTCAAGCCCCGAAATCACGTCAGAGTATTGCGTCGTCCCGCTGTTAACGCAGAAGCCCGCCCTCAACTATCTACTGTTTTCCTTGTGCATTCTACCGTAAGCCTCGATGATTGCTCGCTTTTTTATCTTCTTTATTTGTTCACATGTCCGCGCCGCAAACTTTACACCCCTACCCAAGTAACCCAACGCGCACCGTTACCGTCCTGTGCCTCCCTTGTAGCTAAACAACACATCTAGCTTGGCGATTGGATTCGTCAGCGAGAGTCCTATCCTTGTCGGGACTCGTACATAATCATTGCTACGCCGTACATATATAGAGACAAGGAAATGCCTAAGCCCTACGCCCCACCAACAGATATCCTCTTTTCAAATGTTAGCTTTACCTCTGAACTTAGACAACCTGCCCCGGCAACTTGCAAGGGACTAATACAGCCAGAGAGAGAGAGCAACACATCTCAACACACACACACACACACACACACACACACATATATATATATATATATATATACATATATATATATATACGCACACACGCATATAGTCATGACTACCCGACCATCAGATGCTCCCTGGGCAGATGAGCCCTTCCATCTGATCTCAGACCCTGCCACAAAGGGTTTTGACGTTTGTTGACCCCCGACATCTTCTGTACCCATTCGCCCGCATGGTTCATGGACTGAAGCGCTAATGATTACTTACGACTGTTTAGGGCTCCAAGGGCCATGTGCATGTAGCCACCGAAATGGCACAAGCCCACAATGTCCTCATCCGTGGCCTCAACGCCATCGTGCAGCAAGCTCCCCACGTTCCCGATTCTTCTTCGTCGTCATATAAAGAACAGGATGTCAAGGACCTTCTGGCCTACTCCAGCTCATGGGTCAAGATGGTACACCACCACCACGATGTCGAGGAAAAGTACATTTTCCCCGAGGTCGACACAATAACTGGCCAGTCCGGCGTAATGAACGAGCCCAAAGACCAGCACGAGCTCTTCCAACCTGGCCTCGACAGCCTCACAACCTACACCGCCACCGTCAAACCATCCGATCACAAATGGGAGGGCCACGGTGGCATGAAGGAGATTTTTGACTCCTTCAGCAAGTGTCTAGTTGACCATCTCTACGCGGAGGTGGACTTCATCCTTTCTCTCGAGCACATTGGTGATGCCATGGCGAAGGCCTTTGCTAAAGGCGAGGATGTTGCCCAAAAAGTTGGTAGTCTCGACACGCTCGTAAGTCCTGCCGACCATATACACGCAAAGAAGAACCCTTTTTTCTTTCTGCCTCCTAGATACCAAAAACAGGACGGCAAGCTGACGTGAGGCAAATTCAGTATGACTTGTTCCCTGTCGTCCTTGGCTGTGCCGACAAGACATACGGGGGCGGAAATACATTCCCTCCCGTACCCTGGGTCATGCCATACTTGGTCAAGTACTGGTTTGCTTATGGCAATGGTGCCTGGAGGTTCAACCCCTCGGACTGGTGGGGACAACCTCGTCCGCTATACTGGACTGGTCAGCCCAAATAGGGCCAGGTATGAGTATCGGCACCACAGCATTGATATCCCCTGGTATATCAATATCGTACGTGTATGAAAACAGGCGAATATATTACGCAGTGCGCAGAATCAATAAATAGCAGAAGAGGATAAGAATCAACAGATCCAACGGCTGGGATGGCTGGGCTGATGATGTGAATACGTAGTAATTACTCCTCTTAGGTCCTGTAGCCTGCAGTTGCCGTATATCAGTAATACCACAGGCATTTCAATAATGCTACCTCTACCTGTACAACCGGTTATTACAAACCTATACTTGTGCGTTGTAACGTAATGAACAGCCCCGAGGTCTTTCAGTTCCAGCCGTAGTCGTCCGTCGTACATCCAGAGTGCGCCGCACTGCGATCGTTATTAGTTAATGTCGAGACCAATTTGGGGAACTGTAAGTGGGGCAGAAATGGCGGAAGTGTAGTCAGTCACTGACCCCGTTCCATCAAGGAAGGGGACCACAATCAATATTACACGTACGCTTGTCACTGGTGCCTTTACCTTCACCACTACAAGGCTTCTGCCACGCCTCTATACGCAGACATTGTCAATTATCTCACTATTCCCTACCCCAAGCAGACTCACTGTCTGACACTCGTCTGCTATTACTACTACGCTGTGATGTATTGTCATCACTACGAGAACTCATATTACTAGAGCTGTTACTGCAGAATAGCACGCATTGATTAGTATGGATGAAAAGTTTGATGAACAAGTATACTAGCCATGACCTTCCCGTTATATATGATACACATAAGAACCATGACAGTTGTGTGCGGAGGGAGGGAATTAATACCTTATCAAGTCCGCATGCCTGTGATTTTGAGCTTGACACCTTTGCTGGCAAATGCTGGCGCGATGAGAATCGACTCTCGACTAGGAACAATGTCTTTGGCAAAATCTGTCTTGCCCAGCTCAAAAGTAAATCGTTGAACCAGCGTGCACAGGGTAAGCTGAATAACCTGGGTTGCAAATCTGCAGTCATCCCACGTCAGCAGCCGAGATAAAAAGAGGGTAATCGTCGCCTCTTTCCCCCCCCTCCCTCGGTACCTCCTCGTTCTATTATCTTTTCCCTGTCGATACTCGGTGGTCTTTATGGACACCTGATCCGAGTCGTTCCTTCTTGTTTTTTTCTTCTCTTTTTCTTCTTTTTCGTTCTAAGAGCAAGATTGGTGGGGGGCGGGGGGCGGGGGGGAGGCAAAACTTACTCTTTTCCAGGACATCCCCGGCCACCCTTGCCAAAAGCCACAAAATACCGTTTTTCGTTGATAGGATTCTCCACATCCAGCCACCGCTCGGGCCGGAACTCAAACGGTTCAGGGAAAATGTCTGAGTTGAAGAGTAGATTGCGGTGATTTACCGAAATAGATGACTGATGATTATAGTAAGATCGTAAGCGCACCCCTCTTAGCTCTACGCCCCTCTCTCACTGTTCCTCTGGTGTTGACTTACGTGGGCTGGTATCTTCCAATCACCAAACTCCATGTCTTCATGACAAGTCATGGGCAGGCGAGAACCAACGGGAAATGTAACCCGGTAGATTTCCTTCATTACGGCTTTCTATGGGGCAAACAATCACAATGATTAGCCTTGTTGAGACCGTAGATGTTCTCCACACCACCTGCACATCTAGCTTAAAACCTGTAATCCTTCGCGTGTATCGTTAAGCCCACTTACCAGATATGGAAGGGTGTTGAGAGTCTCGTAGCTAATGTCCTTGCGAGGGTCAGGGTTAGCTTCGTCAAGCTCGCGTCTCAAAGACTGCAACACATGCGGGTACGCATGCAGATAGTACATGGAAAGCATCATGGTCCTTCCAGGCGTAAATGATGCCATGAACATCTCCGTGCCCTCTTGGGAAATGCGCGACGCGGTCTTTTCGGATTCGGGTGCCTTGCTCCTGCAGATGACTGAAAACAGTGTCTCTGTGTCTTGCTTCTCAACAGGTGACACCTTTTCGCTTTTTCCGCTCGAATGCAGCTCCTGCGACTGCACGAATTGCTCAGCAGCTTGATAAATAAGCTGCATAATTTCCGCGGCTGTCAGCCAAACGTTCTTATACAGGAAACTAACTTGTGCAGAGGTACTTACAGTGTGCAGGTCAAAGACGCGACCAATGTGATGAGATAGGAGGCGCAAAATCGAGTGAGGAACCTTACGAGCGCAACCCATGATAGCAGGAAAGATGCGGTAGAATGGTGCACTGGTAACTAGAAGCTCAACCGTGTCACTGCACTTCTGGGCCATGGGGAGGTCATCCAAGAGGTCGAGGGAGTGGCCAAAAGCCCACGTATAGAAGCTGTCAAAACTGATAGCAGCAAAGTGGGAGCGCAGATTGGGACTTGAATCACGGCTTTCCCACAGCAGATCGCAGCAATAGTTGACCTTTTTGTGAACCATTGCTTCGGTGGCCATGACGTTAGCCGTGGAGAAGAAGGGGCTGTAAGCCACCCTCCTTCGTTTGTGAAGGAAGTGGTCTACGGAACTGAAGGATCCATTGGAAGTCCCGAGTGCCGACGAAAAGTTGGGGTGCCTGTCGCGGATGGCAGGCTGGGGTGCATACAACCGATCGTGGAACTCGCCGTCGTTGACAGAAATTTCATCTGGGTTTATGCGGATGATGGGGCCGTATTGAGCGTGAAGCTGGCGCACCTTGGGAGCGAACTGAGAACCTCCCTTGTGGACCAATTCAAAGTAAGCTTCGTACCAGTGTGTGGCCGCAGCCAGACGAGGACCCGGAAACTTGGCAAGAGGATGAAAACAGAGATTGTAAACGATTGAGATGGAAAAGGCAGCGAGGCCTGCGACGGCGACTATGATCACTGCGGAAGGCATATTCGGACACTTTGACAACTTGGAGATGATCGAGCAAGTTTAAAGTGTAAAGCTTCAAGTTAGTCGACAAGCTGGAACGGAGTGTTTGAAGTGAGAGAGGGCCGAGCAAAGTGTGACCCTGGAAGGGATGTCCGTTTGATAAGTAGACCACAGCTGACTTCCCGCCGATGTGTATGTAATACCCTGGCCTCGAGTGGATGGATTCTTTGTTTGAGCATATCGTCACCAACAATGTGGAATGACTGTCCAACCACAAACGATCGCCAATTTTGATTACCTACTGAGATGTACCGTTGTTATCCGTTGCCATCCATTAGTCAGTTCCGTAGGGGAAGATTAACCTAGTATCATATGTTGGGAATGCAAAACGACATGTGCTCAGCTTGTGATACCGGCTGTTTGGTGGTGAGCCGCGTCCATTTTTCTAATGTAGACTAAGAGGTGGGGGGGGGGGGGGGGTGCGCGCATATCACTACATGATATCGACAAATCCTTCGGTCTCTAAAGCATAGAGTAAGATTACCGCATCTATAGTAGGCTTGAATACTTTCCGCATCTTGATTGTTATTGGATATCTTTTAATTCACCCCAGCACTCAACTGACTCAGCTTCTCGCCTTGGTGACGTGCCATGCATAATCCTTACACGGTGAACATGATCTGATGGCAAAGTAATATCTTGGCAGCTACTATCACCCCTTACGTACGTCGTATGCTCATGTAAAAGCTGTCTATAAATACCCCCGGAATGCTGAAGCTTCGTCACCTTCTCTGCCACTCCGCCATCCCTCAACAGGCACAATTCCCTTTTTCACATACATCAAACTGATAGAGCTGAATTTCTACCTTCGTGTAGAAAAAGATGTCACAAACACTCGTTCAGTCTAAAAAATCGGTGCCTAAGACCTCAAGTCTGCGCCATGAGCTTCATTCAAGTCTCAAAGGACAGTCAGCTTACATCCCGAGCCTCAAACCCATCTTTTCCGATTGGGATGGGATCGAGGTCAAGAAGATGAGCCCATTTGTGGAGCCCTTGAGAGAAAGAGTCAACAGTCGTCTTGTAAAGTACTTGAGAATCCGATGACAACTCACATATTATAGAGTTACAAGATCAGGGTATAATTGAAGCTGACTTTCCTCTATAGCCTTGATTTTGACCAGGCAAAGCTTGAACGCCTGCAAGCTGCTGATTTCGCCTCCTTCACGGCCCTGTGGTGGCCTGATGCAGACTTGGAAAAGCTCGAGATTTTGTCATACCTTGTCATCTGGCTCTTCACGTGGGACGATGAAATAGATGAGCCCACCGGCACCTACTCCGAAGATTTTGAAGAGGCACAAAAATACAGAGAGCGGACACTCTTCTTTGTTGGCCACTGTCTTGGGCTGTCTGACGGAATCAAAAACTCCAAGCCTCAAAACAGAATTGTGCAGAGCTTCGACGTTATTGGAGCTTCACTCAAGGCCTCGTACACAACAAGCCAGTGTCAACGCTTCTATGACGAGGTGGCTCAGTTCATGAATGCCTCAGAATACGAGCAGTCAGGCCGTCTTAACGGACATATCTTCTCCCTTGAGGAATATTGGAAGTTCCGCCTAGGTACTAGTGCCGTGTACATTGGCTCTGCAGCTGGCGAGTATTCGGCATCCCTTTGTATCCCCGCAGGTATCATGCGCAGCCCGCCTATGCAAGCCATATGGGACGAGACAAACATCATGATATCCATCACAAATGACCTGCTTTCCCTCATGAAGGAAATGAGGCTCGGATGTATCGACAGTGTCGTTCCACTCACATTTATGATAACCCGTAATATTCCCCAAGCCATTTCCAAGACAATCGAAGTCTTACAGCAGTCAAAGGCGCGTTTCGATGCTGCTTCAAAGGAAGTCATTGAACAGCAGTGCGGTGATGACTTCCTACGTCAGGAGGTATCAGAATTTATCCAAGTCCAGAGGAGCAACTGTGTTGGAAATCTAGTATGGAGGTAAGAGCATTCAAACTGCCCTAGGAGCGTAATACATAAATACTGACGATTAGTATAAGTCTAGAAACACATAGATATAAGGTTCCTGACGTTATTTCTGCTGATGGAAGCATTAATATCATACTTTAAGAAGTCATGTAAATCATGTTCAACGGCAAATACTTTGTGCATCAACTGTAAACACAGATTGAAGTTTCTAAAGTCGATAGAGAGAGAGCATATATGTGACGTTGGGGTCAACTCTAAGCTACAGGGTAGACAGAGATAATGTCGTTTTATGTTAGCGAGATAGTTAAGATGTCGAACTAAGCAATAGGCAGTTATAGTCGCAGGTGCTTACATTAGGAACTAGTTTTAATAGAAGCGTTGACTTTATCATTAATAGCTAGGTAGAGAGTGACTAGACTATAGAAATGAGGTTAACTATATACTAGGTGATCGCTAAGGTCCTGACATCCTATTACGGCCCGACATGCGACCTTCACGTGCACCCCACAAATTCCTTACTTATTATCACTACCTTCACTTATACACTAACTTCACTAGGGAGGTACGATCATCTAAATTCCTAATAATCGCACCTACAATTATTACAATTATTTACGATCACCCCGAATCACCTAGATACGATCATTATCAGTTACAATAATCACCTAGTATATAGTCAACCTTATTTCTATAGCCTAGTCACTCTTTACCTAGCTATTAATA